AATAATAATAACAGTATAACACTAATAATAAAAACAACTACAACTACAACAACAACAACAACAACAACAATGGTACCTTTACTAAGGTACATACACAATAAGGAGATAATATGTAGTAGATATTTAAAAAACAAAAAGATAACAAGCCAACATGAGTTGTGTACTTCGTCTTTATACTTTTTTAAAAATCCTTCAATTTCTTGGCTTTTTTTACCAATTAAAAAAAAATCAATTCCCTGTACCAATTGCGTAAAGAAAAACCCTGAGACCAAAATTTGTAAGCGTAGAACTCTGTGTGTAGTTCATCTTCATGTAATGAAAAAAAAAGCAAGAAATCTCTCTAAATTATCATTAAATACAAAAACTAAACCAAGGTTAGTTACGCCATTACCTTACAGTATCACAGGGAAACACACAATATAATTGAGATAATAATAGTAATAATAATAATAATTTCCCATACGAGTGTAAGCTCTGAGCGCTTTACATCAATGACATGATCACTGAGCGTAACATTTCCTTCACAGTGACAAGAAAACCAGTTTAACCACATGAAGAGGAACTTTCACTACCGTACATAAAATATATGCACGCAAGGACAGCAGTAAAAACAAAATATATCAGCAATTACTAACAAATTACAACTAAAAATTAAACAAATGAGTCTCGAGCAATCGTCTAAAGGTATTAAAATTTGTTATTTCTCTGAGGTCTTGGGGCAAGGAGTTCCATATGATGAACAAGGAAGTTAACCAGAAGGGAACCTAATTATTATTAAGTAATATTGACAAAGGAAGAACAACAATCGGAACTATATTATATTCGTGACACTGGTACAGTGTGAGTCTGTGTGTGTGTGTGTGTGTGTGTGTGTGTGTGTGTGTGTGTTTGAGTGTATGTGTGTGTATATGTGTGTGCGTTTGTGTGTGCGTGTGTGTATGTGTGTATGTGTGTGTGTGGGGGGAGTGTGTGTATGTGTGTGTGAATGTGAGTGTGTATGTATGTGTGTGT